GTGACCTATACACATCTTGACTGATTCTTTATAATTAACCAAATTAAACTGTTCCAGTTTTGACAAGTGAATTAAAGACTAAGTTTTATATGTTAGTATGATAGATGTATTCTCATAAGTATAATTAAACCTCATCAGTAATTAAAGAACTAATGTTACTGGCGTATACTTCAAGTAACTAGCCGGACAAAGCATTTGTTTAACCCTCTAACTACAAAGAGTGAGTTAAATTTGCTGCCAGGTTGCTTTAAAAGCATCTTAACCTGTACTACCATCTAAACTGGGTAGATGTTTTTGAGATAGCAGAATGTTGTCACTGCCTGAAATTGGATGAGATCTTCATTTAAATATTTTGTGGCTTTTCGGTTTTGATCTGAGCCAGCAAGAAAATACTTCGGCAAGAGCTTATGTTCCTGTCTTATCTTATGAAAAAAATCAGCTCAAATCATATCCCGAAGTACAGATACTTCTTCTTCTATTCGATTCTATTTTAATCGCACACATTTAGTCTAGCCTCGATTAAAAAAGACTGAATGTTTTTTGTTTAATTAAGGTCAATTGTTTATATAAGCGATCTGCTAGGGTTGCACTACTCAGTTACATTTAGCTCTAGAATTCCAGAAACTCTTTCTTCTATTCGATATCATTCTAATCGCACACTCAGTAATATACCATTTTTCTAAATTTAATTTTATAAATTAAATATGATCTGAACATAGAAGAATTTCATATTTGAAGACTATAATTTTTTGAAAAAAAATTGCCTTATATTTAAAAATGTTAAAATTTTAATTAGAATTAAAACAATAAATAATCGAGAATACGAGCAGATGTCTTCCTTCTTTTAATGAAGAAATTTTTAATTCCATTAAGGTGTTAAAATAATTTATTGAAACATTCCCTAATATCATGAGTAATTAAATTGTATTAAAAATAAATTAATAAAAGCATTTGCAGCAGACAGCAAAAAAGTAATTTATTTTTATTTAATTTAAAATACGAATAAAACATTTCTTGAATTAAAAAAAAAATTGAATGAAAAAAATGAAAGTTGACTGACTTTTCAGTTATCAGCAAACCCGATTCATAATAGTACGATGAAGATCAAGGGTTCGACATTTCGTTGAGTTGTCGTTCCAAAAATGAAATTTTTTTATTAAATTCTTCTTAGATTACTCTTAAGTTCTGAACTGAGTCGCAAAATGCTAGAAAACACAATTTTTATCAGTTGACAATTCATATAACAGAGAGTTGAGGAACAAACATTTCCGCACTTTAATTTAATAAAATTAAAAAATTTTAATTGATTTTCATGTTTGAATATACATTTTTTTATTTAATAATCAAATAAAATACACTTAAAGAAAATAAAGCAATTTTATATTTTAATTTAAAATAGTAAATATTTTTATATACCCCCTATATAGATCTATGTATTTGGGAATTGATTCTATAAACAAATAAATGTATAAATTTTAGTACTCAATAAATGCCACGAGATATCCCAAAATATAGTCATTTGAAAGGTTTGAAAACAATTTGCACTAATCTTATCGAAAAAATAAAAATTATTTGAAATAAATTGTTTTACGTGTAGATATAAACTGCCCCACCTCTCAACATCCCGACTAGATCAAAGACCTCTCATAGAAAAAGCACGCTCAAGTGACTATAAACAAAAGCAAAAGAACATAAAACGCTATTGAAATTTATTTAGAATGTTCCAAAAACAATAACAACACGAGTAATTATGGCAATTATTTTGGAATGGGATATAATCTAACTGAGCTATGGAAACCACGGTATTTTGTTTATTACTCGTATGAATTGTTTTATTAATTATTGTATATTGTACAACTATGTTATGTAGCTGTGTTCGTATGTGTAGTCTTCAACACACTCAATTTAGTTAATTTATATTTAATTTGTTTTTATTAATATTTTATGGTGTACTGATTTAGATGGCTTCAGTTTTTTGGGAAGGACAATATTTTTTTCAAAATAATAAAACTATCTATTATATACTATGTTGTATTTGAGAATCTATCTATGGAGTAAAATACGAAACGCGGACAAAACAGATTATTTTGAAGTAATAGAAAGTATATAGGTTCCTGGTCACACAGATATTTCAGCCAATTCAGGCGAATGAGACGCTTTAGCTACTTATTTGAAACATTTAAGTAATCTAAACATATCGTTGAATGCTTAAGTAATTCGGTAGGCATTGGTCTGAATCCATCATGTAGATGAATCACAAAGGTTGTAAAAGGACATAAAGGATAGAATTTGAGAAAATGAGATAAACAAAGGAAGGTGTACAGGAACGGGTTGGTGCAAAAATCTACACTCGTAGACAACTATTGACCATTGTGAACCCAAAATTAAGTCCAAAATAGAACATAGCATAAAGATAGAACAAAGCGAAGATGAGTGACTTTATAAAGTGCAGCTACAAGAATAAATAAATTGATTTTTTGTTGGGACCCACGTTTCTGCTTACAATAGCTTACAAACTATTTTCTAGCTTATGAAAGGTATAGAAATTGCTAAAAAAAATAAAACTAAAAAAATGCTTAGTTTTAAAAATGCTGTCTTTATTGCAAATATAATCAAATGAATTAATAATATAATCATAAGTTAATATAAGTTATTTTACTAGTTGTTTTTGCATTTCTTGAAAGTTTTAAATGCCACTAAGAGTTTAGAATTTCCTTATGTAGTATATCCCACATAGTCGTGTTTAATTCCATAGGAAATTGCCTCAACGATTAATGCACAAATAAGCAGCTAGAAAAAGTATTTTGTAACTTTTCCACATATTAACGAAACAACACTTCACGCACTTTTCTAAAAGTCATTTTTTTTTACCAGATATCCTTCTAGAAAACCGGCAACATGTTTTGCCTGTATATGGATCATCTGCTTTGGTGGCAATGGGAGGCAATATTATGACTAAACAAAAGCTCTTTTTACATTTGCTAACTCATAAAGTTATTTAATACAATTATATATATAACATTATGGTGCTGTTTTCATAGATATTAAAACAGACGGCTCGTTTAAAGTTCCAGGAAGTTCAGTCGAAGCGTGTGGCTAATCAATAAAATAAGTCAATTGAGTAAATTTGCTAAAATTAAAAAAAAATCGCTTACATTATTTGTGGAAGGTGTGTATAATCACATTGAAGAGAACAATGAAAAAATTGTATATTGTACCTTATAGTATATACGGGTACAATACACTATGGATGTGTGGGCCGACAACGAAAATGTGCTACATTTTACTAGAACACATATACATACATCTTATAGCCCATATATACATATATTTATACATATTTATTTGTGGAAAATATGTGCCGAAAAGACATAAATATTTCATTCCATTTTGTACACAGAAGCGGCATTATTATGAATAAAATCATGTGATGCCTTCATTAACTGGCCCCCTCAACTGCTCCCGACAATCTCATTTCTCATTTTACTTGGGAGATATTTCCTAAGTAAAAAGTTTTTTCATTGGCTTAAATCGTAGGAGTGGCAATATTGTTAACGTAATACACAACAACAAAATAATGCTAAGAATTATTAAGAGGGAAAATCTTTTTTACGTCTCCAGTAATACAGTTTGATACAAAAATTTATAATATTGAATTAATTTTTGTACAATTTCGTGATCTGACATGAATTATTTTAAACTTTTCAAGAATACTTGTAAATACTATATATACTTTTATATATAAATGTATAAGGATTAATAAAATGTCAACAGTTTTAGGTGCAGTAAACGGCAAAAGAAATTCTCGTGTAAAATGCCCTTGAGTTTGTCCTTTGCACTTGTTTCATCATCCGATTTTAGAATAAATGTTATGGTATGAAAAAATCGAAACTACCGAAACATAGGCACATAGGCGCATAGGAGTGTGTCTGAAACTGAGAGGCGTAATAGTTCAAACAGCTGGTATAACAGTAAGGACAACTCATGCGCTCAGAGAATTTATGAAAACCGGCAAAGGCAGTATACAAGAAGAGGATGAAGAAGGGAAAATTCATATTTTAACATTTCGATGGTAATAGTACTTGTAGATGTTTTTAGGTCTGCGCGTGTTGACTGCCTTTTGACTTTAGTAAACAATTCGAAGGTATGTGGAAGGAAAGGGAAACAATGCCGTAGCCAGGCCTTTTGAATAATATGCAAATTTGACAACAAATTTATTTAAGCTTTTAGAAATATGTATGTACGCAATTTTAAGATTACAAGCATTTACAGCAATCCTTAAAAATAAATAAACAAATATATTAGAAAAAGAATAAACCTTTATATGTTAATACACTACAATTCTTTGTAAATATTATCACATAATGCAGCATACATCAGTAATAGCAATTTTCTTTAAAATCGTATTAACTCTTGATAAGCAAATATAAGTAGTACTATAACATCTGATAAATATTGTACCTAGAGAGCAAAAATTTAATATTAGTTATAAAAATATGTGTGATTTTGTTTTAATATCAGAATGTAAACTTATGCCTATATTTAAACTCAAAATAATGACGGCAAGAACAGGGAAACAGAGACTACTGCTCATGGCTAAAAAGTATTATTCCCACTACAATACATGAATTACATCGCTGTAGCTTTTATTTATGGTAATTACAAAAGCATCTTTATTTATTGCAAATATTTTGGCATATCACCGTCTCATCTAGTATCACCTATTAGCTTAGTACTTGTCTATCCAAGTATCATTTCGATGCAGTTAAACTTTTTCATATAAAATTAAATTAAACAAAGCGTTGTACATTTTTATGCGTATACTTGAACAGAAAATTAAAATACAATAGCATATATTCAGTAAAAATATTTGATTACAATAGCACTAAGACTGCACTTTGTTAAATATAATAGACAATAGTTTGTATTAAAGAAATAAAAAATTTTGTTCTAGATAACATAGATATAGATACATTAATTTTTGTTATTAAATTGTTGCACTTACTTTTAAAAAATTAATATTAATAATCACAGCAGGAGAATTAATAAATCAAATAATTGCAATAAAATACAGGTTTTTTCTAGCATCTTCGTCTTAATCATATTCTTGACTTTCTTTACTTGCGCCGACTTCTTTTGTAGTCGACGCCATTAGACCCATGCTCACCAGTAATTTTTCGACTTCGTTACATTTATTATTTGCTTCTATAATTTTGCTGGATAGAATGTTGTATTCCTTAAGTAAATATTGAGTAGAGTCTTTGACAGCTATCAACAAATTGCATTCTTTTTTTAAGATATTTTCCTCATTGTTTTGATGATGATAATCATACTTGTAAAGACAAAAACCTACTTGCTCTTGAAGAGCTTCTAATTTATTTTCAAGTAAAGTTTTTTTTTCTTGTAAAGTACTCATTAGTCTGAAAAGTGCAAACAAGTTGTTAATTTAAAATGTATTATTGCAATATACGTACATTACTGAATTATATATCTTTTGGAACGAATAATTTAATGCAGAGATTAAAATATTTATATAGTAATAGTAAATTTATTTCGAGAATTTTGTATTAAAATATTAGAACGCCAATTACAAATGTTAGAAATATGCTAATTTGTAAAGAAAAAATTATTTTTAATATTACTATGTTTCTCCGCTATGTTAAGCTTGCTAGGCGCAATTTTTGACTTTTAATTTATATTTCATATGCGATACGACATGGTTGCATTATAAAATTTTTCTTCACTTAATTAGCATATGCGTACATACATACAAATACCGTACCCCTGCTATATATGTATATTATTTAGTCCCAATAAAGCATTTTATAATTTGTTAAAATTAAAAAAAATACTAACACGCATTAAAAATGTTTTTTTAAGAAATTTCTAAATATTTATTTACTTCTACTATTCGTAAAAATATTTATTGTGAATTGTTCAACAAAAAGAAGTAGTTTGCGAATGTGTAATGTAGCGTCATAATAGTTATATCGGTATAAGTGTGAAAAATTATGTATTGCCTAGAATATTGGTTTTAAAAGAGTTCAAATATGCAATAATTTGTTTTAATCATTATTATAATTGATGAAATAGAGAAAATCGCTTAACAGAACATATAAAATTACTCACAAGGAAAAGCCGCAACTATAGTGTACAAATCACGTGTGATTGTATAGGTGTGCAGTAGTGGAAGAAGGCGTTGTATATTTTCCGTCAGTAGTAAAAAAGCCGTTAAAATTGTGGAAAAACAGGAGAAAACTCCCAAGCGGAAGAAGAAGGCTGCAGCCAGCAAAATGTCTGCAGTTTATTCTCCGCAACCACCCCAACAACCACCGGGTGGTGTTTTACAGCCACCTCAGCAACAAACGCCGAATTCTATGCAGCAACAACAACCGCCAGGGGTGGGAGGACCAGGTATGGGGCCTGGAGGTGGTCCACCTGGCGTTGGAGTTCCCTTAGGCACTGGTGGCCCAATGCAACGTGGGCCTCCAATGGGAAACATTGGTCCTGGGGGACCACCGGGTGGTGGGAGTGGTATGATGGGCTCAGGTGGACCACCACCACCAGCACAACGGGGTGGTGTGCCACCACACAATCCCGCACAAATACAAAAAATTTTAGACGAAAACTGTGGAATAATTCAAACAATTCAAGATTTTCAAAACATGGGCAAAGCTCAAGAATGTATGACTTACCATATAGCTCTACATCGCAATTTAGTTTATTTAGCGCAATTAGCGGATCCAAGCATGAATATAGCACAGATATTGCCGGTTTGTACTTTATTAGTAAATTGTTGTGTACTAATATGTACTATATATGAATATATTTGAGAATTTCTTATTGGTCATAATTTAACCGTTTTCACATTTTTAGCCACCACATATACTTCAATCACAAGCGGTGCAACAGGGACCTCATGGAATGATGAGTGGTCCACCAAATCAAATGGGAGGACCGGCAGGTATGCCTCCAATACAACACGGGGAAACTCCTAATCAACAATCTGGTGCTGGTCAAATGCCTTATTCCAACCAAAATCAAGGCTCTCATCCTGGTATGAACCCCAATCAACAACAACAACCAGTTCAGCAGGCACCACCAAATACTGGTGTACAACAACCTAATCAACAGCAGCAGGGCCCATACAGAGGCAATGCGCAAGGACCTGTACCAGGTTCTCAACCAACCGGACAACAACCAGCAGTTCCTCCTGCTGGAGCTAGTAAGTGTAACGTACTAAAAACATTGTACCTAATATCAATCAATTTCTTCGAATATAATTTATGTAATTAAACATGATATATTAATATAATACATTTTACAGATCAACAAAGGCCGAACTCTGGTCCGCCAGGGCCACAGCAACAACAGCAGCCACAAGCTCCAAATCAACAACAACAACAGCAAGTTCCACCACAATCTCAATACAGAGGTGGTTACCAACAACAACAGCAACATCCTCATTATCCGGGTTATCCGCCGCAATCACAACCACCATATCAACCTCAGACAGGTTATCCCTATGGCCCCCCTTCACAAAACTATGCTGGACCACCACCTCCAAACACACAAGGCGGTTATCACCATCCAGGAATGCCAGGCGCAACGTCTAACAATGCTCCACCCAATCAGCATCCTTACCCTAATACTGCTGCGCAACAGGGACCACCAGGTGGATATCCACCACCAACACCAAATCAACAAGTTCCTCCTGGGCAGCAACCTCCACCACCATCTCAAATGTATGGGCCTCCAGCTGGACAAGGGCCACCACCACCACCAAATCAGTATGGGCCACCACAAAATGCACCTCCAATGAGCTATGGTGGATACGGAGCACCACCACCAAATAATTATGGTCAAGCAGGTAGTGCGCCTCCTGCTGGATATGGACCTCCACCAGCTTCTGGAGGGCAATCACCATATCCACCCCAACCACCATATCAGCAAAGTGCGCCTGGATACCCAACCCAACCACCACAACAACCACAAACAAATCCACAAACAAACAATGCTCCACAGGGTGGCGTGCCTCCTCCAGGTAGTGGTTATAGCTCATCCCCTAGTCCAGGTCAAACACCGCCACCTACATCCAATACACAAACACCATCAAATGGTCCAAATGTTGCGCCTCCTAGTGTGCAATCAACTCCTCCCCCTAACCCTCCAGCTGGCAATACGACACCCAATCAACAGCCACCTACATCGCAACAACAAGCACAATATCCAACTCAGCAACCACCTGTTTCAGGACCTCCACAACCACATGCCGCAGCTCAGCAACAACCAACATACTCAGCACCACCAACAAGTGCTCAGCAGGCTCCACCAGGTGCATATCCTCCACCAGCTCAACCTTATCAGCAACAAGCTCCAGCAGCAGGTCCTCCTAATGCAACTGCTCCTCCACCAAATGGTACGCCACCTATGCCCAATCAATACCAACCACCACCACAGCCCTATGGTCCACCAGCACCAGGCGGTTATCCCGGTCACGGCTATCATCAAGGCGGTTATGGGGGTATGCCACAGGGTCAATATCCGCCCTCACAAGGTTATCAAGGATATAGACCTGCAACTGGGCAAATGCCACCTCCTGTTACAGCACAAGGCCCCCCTACAGGAGCTTACTACTACGGTAACCAGCCACCACAGTAAAAAATTTGATCCTATTTGCGGTTATAAATAGTACATAAATTATAGTCGAATTTATATGCTACTCTACGTTTTCTGGCTTATTCCATGCAAACAATTTATCGAAACGTTGATTGCAATTTGATTTCAGAATAAAGAAATAAGGTCAAATGTGTGCTCGCGTACATCATTTAATATGCACATGATTTACTCCTTTTATTAAGTAGCGAATTAATTTTTGTACATTTTGTTGTGTAAACATTAACATTTTTTAGATTTTTTACCTGTATTATCTTGTTTGAGAAGGCATCCATTTACCGATGCTTGTGATTTACAGTCGAAGTAAAATCTTGATACTTTTCTTTTTGCATGAATTTATTCGTTAATCATTACGTTCGAGTGCAAGTGCACTCTTAGAGGATAAAGATAGCAGATGCATGATGCATGGTGCATTCTTCAACACAAGATAACGGATTATATATTTTCAAATAAATTATTAGGCTATATTCATTAATTATAATATATATACTCGTATGATATAATCTGAACTTTTTTACAAATACGTTAGCGCAAAATTACTTTCAACTTAATGTATTTAAATATTTAATTAATAAATTATAGTTGCTCGCATTATACGTAATTTTTAAGGACTTTTATGATTGTCAAGTTCAATAAAAAAGCTCGAAGAAATCCATGCGTGAACAGAACTGTTTTTATTTTTATAGATACGCTTTGTCTTGTTCGCCCTGACATTAATATCGGGCTAAATATTTTAGCTAAATATATGGCTATAGCATTTAATGCATAATAATCTCTATTTGATATGAAATCTGTAGTTTATTAAATCTATAAACGAAAATGCATAAGTCATAAATTAAAGAAGTACTTAGTAAAACATTTGTTTATTGGTGGCTTTTACATATTAATTAGTAAATAGTATTTAGTAATAGAATATGATACTTATATTAAATATATTGTGATTTAGAAAGTAAATTTATATCAGACTATGAGTGGTTACATTGTGTATTAAAATTAACTTCGGTTGTAGCGGTTGCCATCACCACGACGTACCACATCTTTATATTCGTCCATGCGACGCATACGTGCCAAATTGTCTGGGTCATCATTCTCGATTTGTTCCTCCAGAACAGCTTTTTCTTGATCTTCCTTTTCGTTGGGATCTTGTGCAGCGGCTATAGCTTGAGCAATATTCATTTTTGCAACTTTTTCTTCATCAGGAAAAATTCCATCCTCTACACGTTGTGTATAAAATTCATCAACGGTCATTATGGGCAAACTGGGATAACCCATACCAAAAACTGCCTTTTGTGTCGCATCGCGTGTTATAATAAACGGACGCAACGGTTTTGGATTTTGTTTGCCATGTGTGTGACCATGATGGTTATGTGCTTTCTTAACTGTAATGTCATGCTCGGACGACGTATTTTCCTCTCCAAGTAATGCGGACGTTTTTCGCATCTCTGCCATTTTCTTTTCAAGATTAACACTATCAACTTCTTCGGTTGCATCAATTATGCTCTTTCTTATAAGTTTTAAATAGAATTCACGCTTTACTTCTTCATCGACGTCTTTAATTTTTATCATTTCTTTTAAATTTTTAATATCACTTATCAACTGCTTCTTTTTTGAATACAAAGCAATTTTCTCATTTCGAGAGTTGGCGGCGCGTAACAAAGATGCCAAACTGTTCCCGGAAATTTCCTTCACTTGCGACTTCTCCACTTCAACATTTTTGTTATCGCACAATTCGTATTCATTGCACCGCTTCAGAAAATCATTAAAGTACACTTCCGCTACTTTTAATATCTCCAGTCGCTCATGAGTGTTCAACTTTAGTGTTAGTTTACCCAAATAGAATGGTAGCAACAAGTACTGTACAGATTCTGTAGAGACTTCATCAATTAGTTCATTAGGACTGAACATCCCGACTTCACTGACAATACGAGTAGCATCTTCAAAACATTCAATGGACTGCTTTACTTTATTCTGAAAATCTGCACTCGAGAAAGGTAAGGACGTTTCTTCTAATTCATCAAACAACGTCTCGCCAGCTGAAAATATATTTTTCAGTTCTTTACCCTCGAAAGTAACATCCAATGATTCCGCCATAACAAATAGTATTTTCACTTTTATTATTTAAAAAATTATTTTACAAAAACAACAATCTTTGTGCTTAGCAATCACAAACTGCAATGAAATTGTTTGACAGACGATTTCAGCTGAGGTGAATTCATTTTAATGTGTTGGATTTGTTGAAATTTTTGTGTCATTCATAACTCGTTGAAGTGTAACGAAATATTAATAATAAATTATGGCAATTTTACTTGTAATTTGACATTCTGAGTTATTTTTAATGCAATTATTTCTGTAACATATTTTATAGAGAGAGTGCATATAAAATATGTACATATATTATTGCATATAAAAAAAACGATTGAAAATATGTAATGTTCTTTTTGTAATATTTGTATATGTTTATATATTAATATTTCACAATAAATAAAGAGATAATTGAAAAAGAAGAGGTGCTTTCGGCAACTTTTACGTCTGGTAAAAAACAGCAAGTTGCTCGTTTAAAGTTGCTAAAATGTACTACTTTTGCTATCTCAGCACCTAGTTGCGAAGTAGCCAAACATTTTAGCAACCACAAGAAAAATTGTTACTAAAGCAATAAGCGAACTATTGAGAATCCGTATTGGAAATTTCATGAATATTCAAAAGATTGTCAACAAAATTTTCATTTGGAAATGATATATTTTAAAAATATGTTTTTCCAGCATTCCAAACATTGCTTTTAGTTCATTATTCATTTTAATTCTTAGTTTTAGGTTTATTATTCATTTTTATACAAAATGTAATTTGCTTGCATTATGTGCACATATGCAAGATTTGCTTCTTACGAAAACACAACATTTGACAAAACGTAAAAGTGATCTCAATATCTCGCTTAGCTCTTATATTAAGCAACTTGCTGTTTCCTGTCACATTTTAAAACCTGCCGAAAGCATCTAATATCAAATAACATAACTTTTTTTTTAAATATAATTATATAACTTAGCAGTTTACTACCAGATTCGATGTTATTTACTAAATACAGATCTTAAGCATATATATTTTTTATAAATATGACTGATAAACATATTTGTGCTTTAACACTCAGAATTTTATTCTTACACCATGTAGTATAAAGACAAAATTTATATAAACGATTTAAGCACCTAAATTGTTATTTAATGACTTATACATTGCAGCATTCTAAAGTTGTTGTTAAATCTGTAAGTTGAAAACATAGACGTAGTGGTTTATTTATATAGCATACGTTACTGTTATTTTGATAGTAATTTTGTTCGTTCATATCTTTTCGTTATAATTCCAAGTTGAGGTGGTAATCCGATTACATTTAAAAATCTGACAGCTTAAATTAGAATTGAATTGCAAAACAATCATAGAATCAGGTTTATATTAAATTTGTTATACACAATTCTATAATTGTGCAGCGATATTGTGAATAATTTTATTAACTAAACCAAAACAATTGAAAATATTGCTAAACCATTTGGCATTTTCATTTGCGGACCCAACTATAAAAATATTTAAAAAACAAAATAAAGGTAAAATTATGATTTGCTATGTGAATCAAAGCAAGCGTTGTATACATGCTATACGAAATTATATATTTACATATCAAAATATGATTTCGTGGTGATTTTAATTTTAACGTTAAGCTTTTTTGTCTTTTAGCATATATAATTTTCACAAAAAACATATAAGTTGTTGCTACTTTATGACTAGTAGTTTGTATACATGAACATTGCCTCAATAGCTACAAACAAATTTGTTAGAGTTTTTTATTTCAGAATGCAACCATGTAAATAGTCGTCTCAGATCTGTCACCTAGTGTCAAAATTCCTTGACTCCTTTTTGTCAGCACGTGTGTGTAGATACAAAACTAGTGTACATAGAGATTAAAAGAAAATTTAGTAATTTGTAATTAAAAACGTTATGGTTAGCATGAATTTTGTGAAGAAAGCGCGCAAGCTTTCGGATCCGGATATTGCAGTTGATCAAAATGCGGATGAAGAGAGTAAAGAGGTCTCAATTATAGCGAAGGAAATAAGAATAGTTAAGGCGTTAGCTTGTAATGATTTAAATAAACGCTGCCGACAACTTAAAATATTAAGAAATTGGATGCAGTTAAGACATGGCGGTTCCGTTGCTTTTGGCGAAGAAGATTTTTTACGTATATGGAAAGGTCTTTATTATATGTTTTGGCTATCAGATAAGCCATTAGTACAAGAAGATTTAGCGGAGCGCTTTGGACGGCTGCTTAATTGTTTTAGTGATGATGTTGGTAGCAGTATTAATTTCTTTGGAGCATTTTTAAAAACGATGTGCCAACAGTGGTTTGGTATAGATCAGTGGCGTTTGGATAAATATCTTATGCTGGTACGTCGCATGCTACGATACATGTTGCAAGTGATAAATAACGCCGGTTGGTCAGAAGATAAAATACAAATTTTTAATGACCACATAAGCTTAACTGTCTTATCGGAACATGCTACTACGACTGGATTAACTATGCATTTAATGGATATATTCTTTGAAGAGTTGGCTAAAGTTTCTGCAGGTAATATTGAAGCTCCTATGGTTGGAGCATTTGCCAAACCATTCATTAAATTTATGGGTACCCAACGTGACAGTAAATTGGTTTCTCATTGCCGTAAGCAAGTTTTCTATCATTTATTATATCAAAGTAATTTAGGTCGAGAATACACTGAAAAATATAATGCTTGGCGAGATATGGGTTTTCCAACTACAAAAATAGATGATTTAGAGCCAGTTAATCAAGATTGTGTTGATGATGATAATGAAGAGTCTATGGATCATGACGAAGATAGTACTGATAAACATTTAGATCCACGTGCTGGAAAAGTGGATATATTTATGCCTGAATTGCCGCTAGATGCGAAAATATTAATAACAGAGCTAGAAAAGTATGTGTGTAAGGAAGACATCAATAATAAGCGCCGGAAAATGCTGAAAAATTTACTGGAAGTTTTCAGGCAATATGAAAATGGAATATTCGCTCTAGGTGTTAAAACGATTCCACGATTTTTGCTCAATGTAGATAAACCTACTATTGAAGACAAAGTGGATCAACTCGAAAATATGGAAAACGAAGTGTTTGGTACCGGAAGAAAACTAAAGCAGCTTAATAAACGAAAAAGGCGTAAATTATTGAAGTCACTAAATTTAGACAACGTTGATGAGAATAATTTTGATGATGTAATTGAGAAAGCCATACCAAAAAAAAGTACTAAAGTAATTAAGAAAAAGGCACAGCTAACAATGATGAACAACTGGATAGAAGAAGACATTGATGTTGACATTTCAGCAAAAAAAGAAAAAAGTAAGAAAAATACCGAACGCAAAATCGTCAAGCAAAAAAATTCAAAAAAGTCTAAAAGTGAAGCTAGTGAAGATGAACCGGCAAACAAAATAAGAAAAACCCAATCCTCAGATGGTGTATGTGATTTACAGCCTATCGTGGATTCTGATAAACCCATCTCTCCAGCAGTAGCGCAAAGTAAAAAATCAGTTAATACAAAAACAATATCACAATCGAAACCATTAATAACAGCTAAAACTGTGAGTCAGGATGTAGATCAAAATAAAAAAATTAAAGAAACAAAAATCTTATCAAAGACAACACAAGAAGAAACAAATTCACCATCTATTTCCAAAACTAATAAAGAAAAATCAATTAGTGAGTGGGATAAACCCTTGAAAAAAGGCGAAGTAGACTATTTTATACCATCACGTAAAATTCAAGTCAAAAACGCAAATTCAAGTTTGGTTCGAAATCCTTTAGCAAAGAACTCGGGAACAAGTACACCCAAGCAACTTAATAAAACTTCTTCACTTTCTACTCCGTCTTCAGGCAGTGCCAAACGAGTTAAAATAGCGCTTAAACACAATACGAGCCAAAATCCCAGCGAATATTTAAAACAAATTAGAAATTCTCCAAATCTTCCCTTTGATGCAGATAAAAAACCTGGCAAGGGGCTTCTAAAACCTAATCTAATGCCGAGTCCCATAAATCCATTTTATAAAAAAAAACTGGGACTAAATTGGCTAAATGATACATTATAAAATATTTAATAATTAAGTATTGTAAATTTTTAAAAAATCAAACCTAAACTTTTGAATTTCACAATAAAATTTAAAAAAAACTATAAATATAATAGAATTTATTTGTCTGAATATAGATTGTATATATCTGATTTATTCGTGGTTATATGAGCATTCTACATTTTTCTGGAAAACGAGGGATTTTTACTAGTTATTAAAACTAATGCCTTATTTACTTTGGAAAGAAAAGTACAAGTCAAGTCATTAAACGTAGCGTATTATTTTAAGAAAGTCCTCACTGTTTCAAATAATTATCTGGTAATAAATTTATATACTCAAAAGCGATGTGCACTTTGGTGTTTAAAACAAATTCTTAAAATCTAACAAAAAAAGAAAAAAAAAAACGGATTTGCCGGTATACATGCTTCACATTAACCATGTTGTTTATGTAAGTTATCGATTTTAATACAAAGTAAATGTGTTGTATATTATCAAGTTATATAAATTGTTTTAATATAATTAGAAGTCAGTACGTGCACAAACAAATCTTAATTAAAACCGCTATCCAAAATGTTTTTTAAGCTAAAAAATTTAGTTATTAAAATTAGTTATTAACTCCGTCAGTTTAGTCAAATTCGAATACTGGCTTTCCCTCGGAGTCCCAAGTATTCTTACATTTTTTGAAGGCACAAACTAAATAAAGCGCTGAAAGAAAAAACGCCGTTAAAATATGTTTAACATTTATATATTCTATAATTACTTGTAGCTTCCCATTCAGACTTCGAAAGTGTACCATATGGTCGCCCAACATTACCTTTGACTTGAGCGCGAACGTGTGCATACTCTGTGCTATTACATCGATTTGGATACACAGTCTCAAAGCCACCCATTCGTTGTAGTAACGTACGACCTACACAATGTTATAAACGAATGCTCTGGATTAATTAAAAAAATCACTGACCTTTGTCTATGCATTCTTTGTAGTAATCTGCGAAAGGAACTTTGCGCTCCAATTTCAATCCATGCTTTCGACATAACTCTGTTAATGTTGGAAAGTGAACCAAGAATTCAGGACAGTCAACAACATTCTCCAAATGAAATTGATATTTTGCACCAAATAGTGGCGGCGGATTTGTGTCACATACAAAGTCAATTTTGTAAACTTCATTACCAAAACTGCGACTGTTATCCGATTCTTTTAGACGACGCATTATTTCATTTGCATCTGGCATTGTGGCAATAAAATAGCCTCCTGGCTGTAGACATTCAGCAGCATTGCGCACCATGCAATCCGCTTGTGATAACGATTCAAACGAATAATGAAATGCGAACTGACATGATACCAGATTTAATTTTAAAGATTTATCCATATATCGCTCACGTAGTCGCACTAAAGTTGAATCACAGGAAAAAAATTCAGCAGTGAAAGTGTGAACGTACTTTGAATGTTTAGCGCGATCTAGTAATTGCTGATAACGATTTTTACATTGATCAACAGAAACCTCAGCAATGTCTGTGCATATTAAATGACTGATTAATGCTTTTTCCCATTTTAAAAGATCCCCACCTTTGCCGCAACACCTGCAATTATATTTATTTAAAACTTATTTATGTTAAAAGTTGAATATCTTACATATCTAGCACACGCATGGGATCGCCAATGCGCGAAACTGATTTGATTTTTGCCATATACTCATTAATTAATTGCGTTTTTATCCAATTATTAAAGTTTCGTAAGTGCACAATGCGCGACGATAAACGTTCATGACGATTAGTCTCCTTCAACTCATTGTAATGCGATGCAACGACACGACTGTGGCTATTAATTGGAGCACTTCCACACTCTTTTTCACCTTCTTCTGAATGATATTCATTAGTGCTGCTGTCTTCTTTTAATTGTTCGGGTTCAATACGTACTAACTTTGTAGGTTGTATGTCTGTATCATCATTTTCAACTTTCCTCTTCATCATCTTTATTGCTGATTGAATTAAAAAAAAATTGCTTCAAAAAACAACAATGGCATCTGATTATCAATTTCCAGGAATGTGTCTATTCACCACAAAGACAAATGTCATATTTGAGTTATTTTGATTTTCACCTAAAAAAGTCACAATAACTACTAAAATCCATAGTCAAATAATATCTTTCAAAGTGGTACTTTCTAGGTCCATAATACATTTCTTGAACTTCAACATCTGATCTTCATATAACAATAAATTATTTTATTTCCTTTTAGCACATGAGTTCATAAAAATTTAGTAATTTCTCAATATCACGTTTAAAAATTGGGATAGAAGAAAATAAGTATATATAGTTTAAAAACAAGATATAAGTTATTTATTTTCATTTTTGATTTAAAATCAATATGTTCTGGATATGTTTTCCAGAGTAGTCTTCCGATCCAGCAGTAGAAAACTGGCTACCAGAATTTTAATTTCTGTCAATTTATTGTGAATAGTTACACTCTTTGTTTAATTGTTCAGATCAGTTCTATTGTGAAACATTCAAGTTAATCATAGGGTTGAGCCAGGTTTATGGGGTTTTTATTTCGTGATCGCCTCTAAGATTTATTAAAATTGCAAAAGCTAATATCGAATATTGTTGCAACAATTTATTTGTCAAAAAAGTAAAACAAAAATTAAGAAAAAAAATTTATGAAAGTGCGTAACGTTCACAACAATCCGCATTTAACTTGCTCAGTGCGATAAGATAATATTTTAATAATATTTATTTTGCGTTATAACTGATAAAAAAAATCAATTGGATTTAACGAATAGTGCTATCGAAATATGTTGCAAAACGGTACAGAAGCAAAACAGTATGCTAATCAAGAAAAATATGAGGCGACTAGAAGTTGGATAGAAAGTCAAGATTTGCACAGTGAACAAATTGTCGAATCGGATCTAGAATCTTTGGCACAGTCGTCAGTAGTTGACAGCAGTGATAGCGAATATGACACACAAACAGAAACAGATCTTGAAGATGCAGCAGTAACTACCATGAAACTGGGCATGCAAGTTGGTAGGTGTAATACTGTTTTATGTTAATATTTCTTTGTCTTATGTAAATACTTATATTTTAAGGAGACCAATCTGATGTTTTTCAAATCACTGAAAGCATTAAAGAGTTGTTTAATAGCATAAATAGTGTTCAAACTGTGGGTAACGTAAAGATTGAAAATTCAACAGGTGTGCACATTGGTAATATAACGAACATTAATGGCAATATCCAAATAATACAAGCACAAAAACCACAAGTAAAACGAACAAAAATCAAACCAAAGTCTAACAACACAGCAGATGCCTTTAACGAACAAACAAGTAAGATTTCAACAATCTCACTACTATACAACCATGAATATAAAATTGTTTTCACAGAATTCAAAATACCAAAGACCATATGTAGCATTGTTCCCAGGCACTCTTGGTTAGCACAAATGCCTATGACAGACAATGAATACTTAACTGGACCAGTAGAATATGTGGTTATATGTAAGTTGATTGGTATGAATATTAATTTAAATATATTATTTTAACGGTTTTTTCTATTATACATAGTACACACAGCTACCGAGAGTTCGGTAAAACAAGCTATAAATAAAAGAATAATACGAGATATACAGGTAAGTACCAATATGAAAATAAATAAAATTGAATAACTCTAATGTTGAAAACTATTTCGTAGTGTTTTCATATTGAATCTCGTGGATGGGATGACATAGCATACAACTTTTTAATTGGATGTGATGGCTTAGCGTATGAAGGTCGTGGTTGGGGTGTTGTTGGAGCTCACACAATGGGCTATAACGCTTACTCATTAGGCATATCTTTCATTGGCTGTTTCATGCGTGAATTGCCTACTGATAATGCCCTTAATACCTGCAAAAATTTACTAAAAAAGTAAGATTTATTTAATTTTTATTGATGCAGATTTTGTAATGAATTGTTTGTTTTAATATAGAGGCGTTGAAGAAGGTCATTTATCTGCAAAATATAAACTCATATGTCATTGTCAGTGTACATCAACAGAAAGCCCAGGACGTAAACTTTATGAAGAAATACAAAAATGGGAGCACTTTTATAAAATCGAAGACGAAGAGTGAATATATTTTGGTGTTGTGTTAGTCATTAAGAATGCCATATGATTGCCCTTATTAGCGTTATTGATTTCGGATTAGTATAATTTTGAAATATGTATACAATACCAGTTTATTATTTTGTCGACAAAATATTTATGAAAGTCTTATGCTTATCATTTGTTCAACAAAACAGAATTATGCATTAACTCAATCCAAATTTCTAAATATTTTTTTCATACATTTTGGAAATATGAGCATTTGTAATTATATGCTATACTTATATAGCGCAATCGGTTTATTGTTAATATTGTGTTGAGATTATTTTTAGTAAAATACGAATCAAATATTGTGTTATTGCACCAAAAGAGTCAGGAAAATCTTGACTATAAAATTGTAATTAAATTAATAATACATAATTAATTTGATTTGAAGCAATTAAATGTAGTAACAAATTTATTGCACTTAAAAATTTATATATTTTCAGGTAGCACGTTTTTCTAAATTCTGCTTTTTTTGTTGCAGTATTAGTTTTACTATTTTATTATCGTTTTTGTGATTATACATTAAATGTTATAACTACTTTTTAAAATAAATTTTTTACAATAAAACAATTGTTTGGTTTAATTCATTTTATTTTAAATCTATTTGAAAGGTATTTAAAATTATGAATATTATTGATTATAATCATAAAGCCAAATTTAGGCGCTGGACTGCGAACGAGCTGAAAAGTAGAAAAAACAAAAATTAATGACAATAAAGACATGTGAAACGTATACATAATAAGAAGTGTTAAAGAAAAACTTAAAAATTAATGTATTAAAAAAAACTTCTTTTTGATTTCTGGACTCATTGTTAGATAAGTAGAATGCCTGGTTTGCTTAGTAATTTAACAGACAATAACAAATATTTAGGATATTTTTGTTAAGTATTAAAAGGGATTTTTGAAGTTTGCGTTTTGGTGCAAGCACATTAAACTTACTCCCACTGAAGTTTATGTAGAATATATAAATTAACTACTTCTCATCTGTAAATTGATTATAAAAATAATAATAGTAATAAATGGTATAGATTAAAAATATACTTTTTCGACTTGAAATATCTTATGTGATAGAAAAATAATTTTAAATTAAGATCACTATTTTATACTGAAAACGTCCTTTGTTTCTCATCCGAAAACTTTTTCTTTTTCTATCACATAACTTCTCGTGATACTTACGTGCTGGTTTACCATTGAGCCAAGGTGTGAATTTAACATGGCTTTCGTTCCTTTTGGCTGCTTCAGCACGCAATTCGGTTTTGAGGGCTTCACGTACAACGCGGGCACAAATATTAGAATATTGAATGTAGCTGAAAATTTGATTGTAAATTTAAAAATTTTCTTAAGCGACTTTGGAACAAATTACGTAATGGTTTCAAAACACTACAGAGCAATTAAATCTTACAGTTTAGTCTTAAAACTTACGTTAAACCAGCTGCTCTCCACGCTTGAGTCATTTTGCAATTTTTTTATATATAATTTGAATAAATTTATGTATTTAGCAAAATAACCAAATACTCTAATGTCGTGCAAAGATGTCGTACGAAAATCCACACCGATTGCTGATTGAAATTAGCTGTCAAGGGGCTGTCAACTTGGCAGCACTAAAATTATTTTGCGTTTACTGTCAACGTTCGTAACTGGTTACGTATTGGATAGTTACTACAATTGAAAGAAATCAAATGAACATTTTAAAGCATGAAAATAAAATTCTTTGGGTAATTATGTTTGTTAGAACTAATAACATATATAAATATATAAAAAGAAATTCAATAATATCAATAAGAACATTATTCTATTTCCTCATATAAAAAATTATTACGTAGTTAACGTAGCGTATAACGTAATAATAACGTAATAAAAAAATTATTACGTGTTAACGTAGTGTATAACGTAATAATATATCCGAAAATGATTTTAATATAGGATTACATATCTCTATAATATCATTATGTAGATTTCCGTATTTATTTGTAGTTAAAATAGTTTAAAAGTTGCTTGCATTTAATTATTTTCTAAAAAGTAACAAGGAATATGAGAATGTTAGACCATACGGTTATTTCGTACAGTACAAAACTAAGTAGAAAAAAAAACAAGTCCGATTGGAAAACTGTCGAATAGTTATATTACTTTGTATAACTATACTATTGAATTATAAACAAAAAAATCTTTAGTTATAAAATTATAGAAAAATATAAATAAAATCTAAAATTTAAAATTTAAATTTTAATTTTAACAGAACAATAATTATTGCTTAATATTTGTTAATTGCTATAACGTTTAAGTGTGGTTATTAGTTTTATTAAACTTAACATATTAAACTATATTGAACATATACAAAATTTCATGTCATCTGTCTATTTATTATATATTTAAAAATCATTTCAAATTGATATGACAGTGTATATTTTAAAAATAGAAGAACATAACAAGATGACATGAGAAAAACGTTTTGTTAAAAAATTGAAATTCAATAGATATTTAAACCGTAATGGTATAAAAAAGATTAGCTGGTTTAGATATGTGATCAAAAAGAATGGTTTGTATAAAAATGGTTATACAAGTTTTAAATACGATCCACATGAAGAAGATTATATAGTGATTAATTATATATATTATATATATGATTAATGCTACGAAGACCACAGCACACAGGAATCAGGTGCAACTCATATGTAATAATTAAGATATAAAAAAAAACAACTAAAAAAGATATAGTATGATTTCATTGAATCAAATGTTAGTCCATTATTGAAATAAAAGTGAAATGATCCTTTTTGGTAATATATTGTAGAAAAATATCTCTTGAAGCAAGATAATATTTTTGAACAATTAACTGAAATTTGACTCACTGTGTGAGTAAATCACCAAATAAAATTTTATCACATAATTTTTGTAGGATTAACAGATTTTTAGAATAAGACAGTTGGTATTATGATTATTTTGATGCACACGCTTATTTTACTATAAGTATTTGTTCAGAAATTTTAAGACTATAAGTAGCTGGTGTTAGTTTGGTCTCTTATTTAATCCTATCGCAATCTTATCTATTCAGATTAATTTAAAAAAAGTAAATACCTGTTGCCATGAGTCAAATGAGCAGACGAGGTCAAGATTATGCTAATTTCGTAGTCCAGAATTTTGCAACAGTGTTTCCGCCACCTTTCATATAAATCATAGCACTCTTAAAAGTACGATTGCTTTATATTAGACTTTTTTAATTCTTAAAATTATTAAATGCTTTGCAAATATAAAGGAATTGTTTTCGTTTGTGTATTTACTCTATAAAATAAATAAATTTTCGCAGAAAAAGAGGATTTATCTTGTTTTCTGGTTGTTGATTTCAAAATGATTTATGGTTTTAACATTTTTTATCAAAGGAATTGGCCTAATGTAAACGGTGTTGAAGCAATTCGTAAAGATAATTTAATGTTAATCTTAGAATTACTAATTACTTTAATTTTTAATTAGTCATGTAACTCATTTTTAAATGTAACGATGGGCTCAATAAATTTTCAGTACATAAGTTTGTATGTGTAGTACGTAAGTTATTTCATGACGTCATATTGTACGAATATTGTAAGAATTAGACCAGGTTTGCTATTTACTTGGTGTTTACTTTTAATTGGCCAGAAGAAATCAGCATGTCTGCTTTGGAAAATTCATCTTATTTAAGTTGCTCGAGATATTTTTCTGACCAGGTATCTATATGAGTTCAAAACTGAAAAGCATAACTAATTCGCTGAGAGAAGATTTTATTGTAAGAAATTCTCTATAATATAGTATTCGAGTATGCAGGTTTGAAGTTATTGTTCAGATTCAAAAGTTTCTTAAGACAATTTCTTATACCCAATCAATTCACGTATAGATATCCATTTTGTATTGTGTTTACTGATAGATCACTTTCGGTAAGGAAAGTCTTTCACAGCTGCTTTGTCCTTGTTCAGGACAATGCAGGCACTATGTAGGCTGCATATGCGAAGATCTGACTTTTTAGAGCATCTTAGACTTTCTATCACAGATCATCTTAGGCTTGGGCTTACGATAAAGGACAGATAATAGACAGCAGATAAGGATTAAGGATAGAATGATAAATAGAAGACTTAAGTTTTCTATTTAAATACAATTATTAATATTAAAATTCGACCTTTGCTGAATAAATCATTCAAAACTTTTTCATTACACTTCGCTTCAATTGGATCGATTATAATTATATAGCACTAAATTATACAGGCATACTCTATTATACATTATTCGTTATTTTATTTAAATTTAATTGACAGAATTTAATTAATTATAAGTGCTTTGAATATTGTTCATATTGTCTGTGATGTATTAAATATTTTTTTGATAAGAAAGCGAAGTGTTAATTTATTATCAAATAGAAATGATTTACATGCTAAACTAATTAAAGCAATTAAATGACAAGTAATTAAAAATAGTTTAAATGTAATTAATAACGATTTGTATTTGAAGTAGTTGCCGATAAAATGGTTCATATTATTAACAATAATTAAAATTATCAAAAAAAAGTAATATAATAAACTATAAATTTAGTCCAATTTTGCCGTTTAAGTTTAGTTATAATTGGAACCCGAAATGCTTAACTGGCTTTGCATTTTTCTTGTAATTTTTATTTCCCATCAAATTAACGTAAGTGGAAGTCTATAATTTGTACAAAATTTTTAAAATATTGAATTCTGATTTTTTAAAGGCAACTGACTATGAAATTATAGGCGATGACAGCTGTTTCTTCACACGCTGTAGCAAGGAGGATAATAAAGGAAATGTAGACATCATGACAATCCTTGATGTTAGCAATCTAAAGCACGAATATAGCGATGATCTTGAAACTGTACGTACAAATGGTAAAATTATGGTGAAAGGTAATATGCCAAAAAATGTACCAATAAGAGTTGAGTTGGAACTTTTACGTTGGCAGCATGGACAATGGGTCGAGACGTCCATTTCAATAAGACGTAATGATTTTTGTAAGTCTGTTTTTGATCCAACCGAAATTTGGTATGACTATATGAATAACCTAGCTAAAAATGATCGCGACTGTCCTCCCAAAAAAGGAGTAAGTGTATCATATTTACAAAAACATTATTTAAGTCTTTTACTTATACTTATAGTTATGCATTTTCATATAATTTTCTTTTAGAAAGCTTACCTATTGAAAAATGTTCTTAATAGAGTTATTGTAAAGAATGTACCAATGGCTGCCTTTCCAGGTCAATACAAAGCGATTATGCATTTGATAAGCGGCAATTTCTCCACTTGCATTTCGTCACGAATGCATTTAAATCGAAAATAATTGTGAGATAATTACTAATTACTCAAAATTTAAATTCAAATTTATATTAATTTTTATATATATATTTCAGCAATTCTTTAAAATCTTTAATGTGTCCTTACTCGGCTTATGAAAAGTGTACGTGTGCATCTACCAAAAACATGAAATGATTTAAAGAGAAAACACAAATTTAAGTTAAAATTGCAAAAATAAATATTTTTTGCTATGAATTAATTTTTTAAAAAAATATATATAAACAGCATTAAAAAAGCAGCAACAAAATTTATTGTATGTACTCTTGAACCAGATTTGATAAGCCATTAAAGTAGGTAGCTCGAGCAAATGAGCAACAATCTTCGCATCAACAAACGTCCAGATTTTAAAAGTTTTATTTAACGTTGAGCTTGTGACAAAAATGTACTTACGTAAAAAGCATCGTATTATTTTGTTTGAACATTAATTGCGATTTATTTTTAAACAATCCATCATGATTTCATTATCAACCACAAACTAAAGGGGACTCCTACGCAATTCAATTGCAGAATTTTTGTTAATGGATGACATGTAACTCACCATAAACGACAGATGGAAGCATCAGTGCAGTATTTTACCGGATGTGACGAAAAATAATTTGACTTTTTAAGGTTTTCTTTTCTTGATTTATTAGATATGTTTATTTTATCTAAGAATATGTAGAAAATTTTAAAGTTCTGTATATTTTCTTGCCGAGATTAGATTTCATTTAGAATTATACATAACATTATATGTGTCAGAAAAGTATTCCGAAGGACATTGGAAATCATTCTGTTAAATTCAAACTGTTTATTTTCATGTGTGTATATTTATTAATTAAATGTAAATATGTTAAAAAGTAGATAAAATATTAGATATACAGGGTGTTTTCTGGGAATGCTTCGCAAAACTTGGAGATGATTTCTTTACCAGCGAAACGAAATTCATATTCAGTGTTGATTCAGATAAAGAGAAGTAAGGAGAAACATATTTTCTCGTAAACGTCCTTTGGAAGCGTTCTACTCTATTTTTGAAATTTAATTTAAATTTATTTTGAAATGACCGAAACCATATTAAATATTCATTCAGATACAGAGATGTAAGGAGAAGCACATTTCCTCGTAATCGTTCCTTATTTTGAAATGATCAAAATACATATTTAATATTCACTCAGATACAGAGAAGTAAGGAGAAACACATTATCTCGTAATCGTCCTTTGGAGTGAACAACCTACTCTTTTTTTTTAATTTAATTTAAATTTATTTTGAATTGATTAAGTTTTGTTGAAAAAGCTCGCGTAGGTTGCTCGCCTAGGAGGCTGAATAGGAGAAAATAATATAAAACAGGGTAAAATCTTTTAGATAAAAAATATTTGCCAGTTAAATTTTTGATATAAAAACGGTTTTATGTAAAAATTTCCAAAGAAAACTTACTTTGAATTATTATTCCATTCACATTCATTTTGTATTAAGGAGCTATTTGATTAAATCGTTTTTGAGATATTCGAGATCTTTTGCTTGAGATTTATTTGTAATGCAGATTTTTGATTGACATAGCCTCAAAAAACGAAGTGGAGCATCGTTTTAACACACTTTTTTTGTGTTTCTTAAATAATTTTCAAACTTCACGGCATGTTTACAACATATATATAATTCTATCAAATACCAATTTTTCTAATACCTTGTTTTTACTATGTCATTTTAAATGACCATTATAATTGACTGGTGTGTCAAATGCGTTTTCATTACATGACAAGAATGCGAATATGACCGTTTTCATTATACTGACAATATTTGACATTGAAAATGTCATAGTGAAAGCGAGACATAATAAAAAGCAGCATATTTTGACTATCTACAGTTATTAAAGAAGTTATGTTGCATTTGAAACATTCAGAATAAAATGTAGGATATGATGGTAATTTTTTTTAAACTAAATCCAAGTGAGGATGTTATGCCTTAATTGTAAATGTCCGATTTTGGTTTTTAAAAACATGTGTTGTCCATATACAAATTTGCAATTGTTTTAGTTTTATTAAAGATAAAATTTTTTCCAATAACTAAATATATCCTTATTATCTCCAAAAGCTATCTCATCAATAATTTCACTTAAGAGACAGACCGATATTATTTAAGTAATAATATTTAGCAAAATATATAATATTTATTTTCGAGTAAAAGATAGTTTTTGTTGTAATTATGTTTTTAAATTGTAAAACACAAAACTTCAATTTATAAAACACTTCTATTGCCACTGTACCCTTGGTTGAGTCATGTAAAATTTCTTCTATTTTTGATTGTTCTATGTCATTTTTATTAGTTCGTCAATAGGGTTATCTCTTCTTCTGGCTGTTTCTGAAACTATATCCTAAAATGTTGATTTAAATTCTTAATGGGATTAATAACTAAATTAGTTATATGAATTTGCTTTTAACATTTTATTTCATTGCTTAATAAGTGTTTTACTATTAAAAACTTTTATATATAATTAAATATTTTAATTATATAAATAGCGATCATTATACAAATTTTATATTGAAGCTGTTATATAAACATTAAATTAATCATTTAAAGTTGAAATTGTTGTTGGTATTTCAAAAATAAAAATATACAAATTAAATGAATCAAGTAATTTATTCAACATAATAAATTACTTATACAACGGGAATCCCCTACCATCAAAATAAAAATTTTTGATATTATGCACGAGTTAATTTTGAGGACGTCTTTTGTCTTTTAATATATATGAAAATGTTAAGTTAAAAAATAAAAAAATTCAAATGACAGCTAACTAAAAATAAATATTTTGTTGTTTATTTAAAACCAAAAAATTATAACTAATTATTTTTTTAAGATCTTTAATAAATTTAAAAACCACCATTTGTCAAATTAATTTAATAATTTATAATAATTTATTTAAGCATTTTTGAAACATGAGAGGTTTTCAACGTTTTCTAATATATGCAAGTTTAATTGAGTATTAATATAATTCTAATGTTATCACTTTAATGTCACTCATACGCACCTTAGGCGAAATATGTCAATCTGCCAGTAAATGGCCTGAAGCTGTATTATAATTTCTAATGTTTACAATGAATTAACATTTTAATAATAGTCATTAATTCTAACATGTTTTCGCACCTTATTTTGCTATATTAATAATTATTTAAAAAAATTGATTTTAAACAAAATTTTTTTATGTTTTTTATATATTTTACTGATATTCTTCTTAACATTGTTTATGTTGAGTCTTTTTCAAGTTAGTGCATCTGGGCACTCTTACTTTTTGCTAGCTGCGGGGTTACTGCAGAGTCCCACCCTTCTCACTGACTAATTTATGTATTCATCAAAAGCTTCGTGATTATTCGATGAGTAAACTAAGATCTGCTAGAGATTATTCTGAGATTAGATAGTGCTAAGTAGGATAGCCTTTCGGTTTTCGCGAATAGCTTCATGGCTTTGCCCCTTATGTATTTTTTGGCCGGTTCTATTCTAAGGTCTCTTGGTATGTTATTTGTGCGGATGTACCAAGGCACTTTGAAGAGTCTTCGGAGAGCCTGACTTTAAGCAACTTGCAGCTTCTGGATAGTAGAGTTGGCAGCTTTGCTATCTCAACATTATAAATTATATAATTTTTTCCTGGATAAATAAATTTACTACTCATTTTATTTATAAATACATAAAAAATACAAATTAATAACTCTTAGTCTTATAACTAGATAGTATGCATAGTTCAGATAATGTTTAAGATAAAAAGACTCAACTTTTTTTAACTGTATTTGAAAAATTATAATTTTTAGTAATATATCAGAATAAGAGATTAGATGGAAGCAAAACTGGACAAGGAGAATGCGCAATGAAGTAATCTGAGTCTGACTGCATCACTACCTAGAAACATCAATTAAAAACTGTTTCCGAAGGTTCAAATAGGTTCAAATAGCTCTCTGGGATGAACGACAAAAATAATAGGTTACTTAGACTGAGAAGATGTCAACTCAGATTAATTAATGGTTTTTTAAGTGGAGGTTTTCCTATAAATTTTAATTGAACTAAAAGGTGGAGACTAAAAGACACCGATATTTATTTATAAAACTTCTCTTTGTCTGATTTATTCATGTACTGCGATTTCATAGCAATGGGTTTCTTACGTCCATATAGTTTTTACCGAATATATTGGTGTGAAGGATGTTGAAACAAATCAAAAACTAAGCTTAGTAAATTGGTTTCTGCGATAGCACAACAAATCTAAATCTTTAAAAACTGAACGTAAAATAAATTCGTACTAAATAAATGAAAACTTCACTCAGATTTATTTTGTTCTTTAGAAGGAGTTATTAGATAAATGATCGGTGTAAACTCAAAATTTATGTCTGAACACATAAATTTGATTTCGGAAAAAGTGGCTACTAGGATATGAGTTTATAACCTTCATATAGCTTCCAGCGAACATAACATGGTCGGGAATAATGAAACAGATATATTAATAGCTTTATCAATAACATAGCTTAAGAGATTCTCTCGTGGTATTGATTTTATAAGTTCTACTTGTCTTCATCAAATATAATTATAACACTGAATTATGATTATGTGCTGTCTTATGAATAGCTTTTTGTATAGCGTAATTCCAACGATTCTAATATATTTATAAAATATATAAAAGTGTTGTTTTAAATAAAAAATTCACTCATTATTTATTACACGACTTACACTTTTTACCACAATAACACTTTATTACACCAAGTCTTATATGCAATATATTTATTGATATTCTTTGCTGATATTTAGAGCTTGAACGGAGAAAGCATTTACATTAGCAAATGATATTTCACAATTTATTTTTCCCATTTTTTTATTATTTTATGAGCTCTTAATTAATGACTTGTTTAGTAGTATTGAACTAAATTTTTCCAATAGTACACCGTATATTTCTTGATTGAACCAAACCAAACTGCAATGAACACATTTTATTGAACACCTGGTACGGATGTGCAATAGAAGTGCTAATATGCAGACCACGTCTTGAAAATATTGAAAACAGATCAGTTTTATGATTCTTGATATGTGAAGCAATTTTTTTCTGAGGATTACGTAAAGCGATGTCAAACTAATAATTTATTTCATGTACAGAATATAAAAATAAGTTCATAAAAAAAAAATAAAAAATTTGAGA